AAAATACCTTTAAAAAGTGAATTTTGCATAATAGGTCCCCTTTAAGTGTTAGAGTGTTAGAATGTTAAAGTGTTAKAGTGTTTAAGTTTTAGAGTGTTTAAGTGTTAGAGTGTTTAAAAGTGTTAGAATGTTACAGTGTCAAAATGTCAAAATGTTTCCTCGTTTTTCCACATAGTGTGCAGTTTTTCTTTGATGTGTTGATTTTTCAAGTTRATTAGAGCAAAAACAAAACTCTTCTCTTTCACAGCGGCCCTATGAGCGCTACATCCTGGARTGTTTGGTTCACTACAAGGTGAACAGAATGCCATACACTATTCCTCCTAAATTCAAGCCATCTGGATCAACAAAGGTAGCATCTTCTAARTTCACTCCTGAATTTTACAGTCCTGAGCTTTGAAACGACCCGTGTGGATGGCAGTGTTGTCCTGTTTGTTGTTGACCAGGTGGTGGTCGCTGTGACCTGGAGTAAACCAGATGGTCCATCCTCAGTTCCAGTGTGGATCATCATCCTGGCTGTTCTAGCTGGGCTGCTTTTACTGGCTCTGCTTATATATCTGTTGTATAAGGTAACTGCTACTCAAACAAACTCCACTCAGAAAAAAATAAATCATCTGTGATAAAACTACAAATTCAGTTTTTATCAAACCAACTTGACTTCTGCTCAGCTTCTGAGCAGAGATTACTATCACTTTGAAGGAATGAATTTTATTTTTTACAACCATCAGGAACTGATGACGTCCTGCTTGACACTTCTCTGATTTTCTTTGTAAGCCATTGTTTAAACAGTAGATGTTTTTCATCCTGAAAAATCTTCACTAAAGTCCCAGCATTCATTGAATGAATGCATATCGCCCTTTGTGTCAGAGTTTAAGACTAAAATTACCTTTTGTTGAGAAATCATGAAATTGTGATCATTTCAATAAAACCTTGGAAATAACTTTTCCATTAATAGCTATTTTTGTGTTAGCTAAATTTGACCAACTGTGGCAGCCAATATTCAATGCATATTTAACWATTTATGGTAAATTTTCTTTATAAATAATCATTAAAATGCATTCAGTGGTTTATGATATTTTTGGACAGGTAGTTTGTCAGTATGTAGCACTGTATTAATAGTAACACTGTAAGCTGTACCTCACATGTAGAATAAGTTCATGCTGTAGCTATAATAAGGATTTTATGTCCAAGTCACATCAAATATAAAACTTTTAATACTGTAAAGCGTAAGAAGTGCAAATATTTGTATTCAAAGTTTTAGACTTTGTACTTTGTGTTTCCCTGCAGATGGGCTTCTTTAAAAGGTCTGATCCATACGGTACCACCATGGAGAAGGCGCAGCTCAAACCACAGGCGTCCTCTGAAGCTTAGCTCCAACACTGGGTTTCTCCTCCTTGCAGCTTTTCCAAAGAACTGGAATTTTTCCCAAAAAYGGGATGGATGTCACTGATCGTATGCAGGCACTCCACTTGTGCAGGGACAGTTCTGGGTGCTGTATCACTGGAAGAACTCTGATCTGGTGCTGCACTACAATGCCAAAGCAGAGAAGACRACAGGGACCATGCAGTTGAATATGCACTGCTGTTATGGACACTCACAGCTTCTGCAGAGGTTATTTAGTCTTGAATAAAAAAAAATCCAAAAAGAGAGAACCACATTCAACCACAAGCTTCTGCACAACCCTGTCTCTGACACCAGGAAGAGTTGTGTAATCATTTATCCGTACGTTGGTTTACCCAATAACTGCTCTGCCTCACCTGTGTTGTGGCCACACAGTAACAGGATGACATCACCAAACTGACCATGCTCTCATGCCTTCACTCCTGATTGGGTCAAAGCTGAACACACTCACAGCAAATAACTTTATTAACAGACAAATGAAATGAAAATAATCGTTGAACAGTTCAGACCAAGAACATCAACTGCACCTGGAGCAAAGAACACTACATCTACAGCACTGCTTTAGTTCACAAACTTGTATTTTTAGCCATATTTGTGATCCCTGCCCTTTAATTCTTGACTGTTAATTCATGATCTGTACACCACTTCTTATTTATGAGTACAGTGTTTCTGTTGGTTGTTTAATGTTGTGTTTTGTCCTGATGAGAATGAAATGTTTGACTTGAATCTTTCATCTCCCATATTGGGAGGTTAATGCCTGTGTGATGCAATGTATACACTGTTTTATGACCTATTGTTGCTCTGGCTCAAAATAAAACTTGATTTTTTTATACCCATTTAAGATGGTTTCATAAAAATAGAAGTTTCAGCAGATTTAAACAGCAGCAATTTGCGCTTGAAGTTAGTTTGATTTCTCCCAGATTGTCTGCTTTGATATTATCAGAGTACATCCAAAAATGCAGAAGTCTTCATCCAGGCTAGGCCAACGGCCAAACGAGGGCATGATTTTAATAGTTTTCAGATTTATARAACAAATAACATAACAGTGCGAGTAAGTGCTACAGTAACTATTAGCAGGACTTTGTCTCTGTTTTCTCATCAAACCTTCTGTTTGACTATGGATATACAGGCGTTAGACAATGAATGTGAAACACCTGGTTTYAGACCATAAYATCMCTTTCAGACAGCTTCCTCTTGCGTCCACAGTTAATCCTGTTGGATGTGGTTCATCCTTCTTGGTGGTACGCTGACATTACCCTGGATACTTTGGCTCTTGATACATCACAAAGACTTGCTGTCTTGGTCACAGATGCACCAGCAAGATTTGCACCATCAATTTGTCCTCTTTTGAACTCTGGTGTGTCACCMATAATGTTGTGTGCATTGCAATATTTTGAGCAAAACTGTGTTCTTACCCTGCTAATTGAACCTTCACACTCTGGTGCAATGTGCAATTAATTAAGACTGGCCACCAGGCTGGTTCAATTTAGCCATGAAACCTCCCACACTAAAATGACAGGTGTTTCACTTTCATTGTCTAACCACTGTATGTGACCAGCACACAGACTGATGCAGCCTCAGCAACATTGTCTCATGGTGGACTTTAATAAAGTTGTCTGCAGCTATGCTTACTTCTTGACACTAAAAACCTCTGTATGTATCAGCCAGCAGAGAGTTCGAGGCCACATGTTTATGTGAATGAAGAGATTTGATGTGGTCAATCAGTTCAAGTATCTTGGTGTCAACTTGGTAAATATTATTTTAGAGCTTTTCTCACTTGACAGGCAGCTAAAATGTATATACAAAGCATGCAACGATCTTTTATCATACATTGTACTGTCTGCTGGCCACATACAACTAATGTGCTAAAATCACTGGTCTGTCTTTAATAATAAAGTCAAAGTTACAGACAGATGATCTATTAATGCTCACTACTGTAATATTCTCAATAAGTATAAGATATTTGAATTAGAAAATTCACAAATGTTCAGTGATCCAAGTCTTGTTTTATGGTTTTAAATGGTTTGTCTTTTGTAAACCTCAGATTGTTGAAGCAAGATGGAGAAGAGTGGGTAAAGGTGGTATCAGAGCATTGGTGGACAAACTACTCTGTTTCCTTACTTCAGTCAAAGTGCAGATCCTACTGGTCAAATATTACTCCATCTGTCCATCAGTCCATTTTCTTCCACTTRTCCAGGATCGGGTCGCTTGGGCAGCAGCCTAAGCAGAGAGACCCAGACTTCTGGGGTGTCTGTGGCTCTAACCAGAAGCCAGGGCCACCTCAACTGGCTCCTCTCGACATGGAGGAGAAGCGGTTCTACTCAGTCCCTCCCGGATGACTGAGCTTCTCACCCTATCTCCAAGGGAGAGCCCAGACACCCTGCAAACGAAACTCATTTTGGCTGCTTGTATCTGCAATTTCAGTCTTCCAGTAATTACCCAAAGCTCGTGACCATAGGTGAGGGTAGGAACATAGATCGACCGGCAAACCAGCTTCACCAAGACAGACCAATACAGCACCCTGTATCACTGCAGACACAGCACCAATCTGCCTGTCGATTTCCCCCTCCATTCTTCCCTCATTCGTGAACAAGAGCCCAGATACTTAAACTCCTCCACTTGGGGCAGGACCTCCTCTCTGACCTGGAGGAGGTACCCTACCCTTTATCGGCTCAAGACCTTGGTCTTGGATTTGGAAGCACTGATCCTTATCCTGGCCACTTCACACTCGGCTGTGCACCACTCCAGTGAAAGCTGGAGATCACRATCTGTCGAAGCCAATAGGACCACATCATCCACACAAAGCAGAGATTTGATCCGAAGGTCACCAAAATGAATCCCCTCAACACCTTAGCTGTGCCTAGAAATTCTGTCCATAAAAGTTATGAACAGAATCTGTGATAAAGGGCAACCTTAGCGGAGTCCAACTCTCACMAAAAACGAGTCCGAATTACTACCGGCAATGYGKACCAAGCTCTGGCACAGGTTGTACAGGGACCTAACAGCCAATCCAGGGGAACTGCCCCCAATGTCTACGCAATATTGTAGAGTCGCATCAACCAATGCAACCCCTCAACATCCAGAGCCATAAGGAATTCTGAGCGAATCTCATCCACCCCCCGGCGCCTTGCCACCAAGGWGCTTTTTAACCACCTCWGTGACYTCGGAACCAGAGATTGGAGAGTCYGACCCAGGGTCCTCAGGCTCTGCTTCCTCATGGGAAGACGTGTCAGTGGGATTGAGAAGGTCTTAAAAGTATTCTGCCCACAAACCACAACATCCCAAGTTGAGGTCAGCAGGGCGCCATTCCCACCATAGACAGTGTTTGTGGTGAACCCCCACCCCACCCCACGAAACACCAGATGTTGGATCAGAATTGCGTCGAAGCCAAAAAAAAAAAGTCTTTTTCCACGGCCTCTCCRAACTCTTCCCATGCCCGAGTTTTTGCCTGAGCGACCACCCAAGCCACAATCCACTTGGACTGCCAATACCTATCAGCTGCTTCAGGAGCCCCACAGGCCATAAAGACCTGATAGGACTCCATCTTCAGCCTGACAGCATCCCTCACTGCCGGCGTCCACCAGTGAGTTTGAGGGTTGCTGCCACAACAGGCACCGACAACTAGGGTTGGGGAACCTTTGGTGTTTGAATCGATTTGGTACCAGTATTCGGTACCTGGGAATTGGTACCTGTACTTAACGGTACCAATTTTTGATACTTTGTGTGTGTTGTTTTTTTAAATAATAAACTTTTATTTTTAACATATTTCTCAATATATCAAATTAACAAATTCAAGACAACATCCAACTCTATGTATTGTTCAAGCTACATTCAGACCGAGCTCTGTTTACTGAACCAGTGGCTGCTGACGTCATTACSCTCTTGCGCGATGCTGCGTTTAGGACAAGCGTGGAAAACTCACCACTCTTATGCCAATAAGGTCGCAATGATGCGTTTAGGTACAGAAACATGGCACTGTTTGATGTTACATGAATAGGTTCTCGATAGTACCGACAGAATTCGGTCGGTACTTTAAAAAGTATCGAATTCGGTACCCACCCCTACCGACAACCTTACAGCCACAGCTCAGGTAAACTGACTTGACAATGGAGGCATGGAACATGGCCCACTCGGACTCAATGTCCCCCACCTCYCCTGGAAYGTGTTCATTGTTCTCCCAGAGGTGTGAGTTGAAGCTCCGTCTGAAAGGAGATTCTGCCAGACGTTCCCAGCAGACCCTCATTATGTGTTTGGGTCTGCCATGTCTGACCAGCATCCTCCCCTCCATCGGAGTCAAGTCACCACCAGGTAGTGGTCAGTTGACAGCTCCGCCCCCTCTCTTCACCGGAGTGTCCAAGACATGTGGCGGCAGATCAGATGAATTGACAACAAATTTGATCTTCGAATTGCGGCGTAGTGTGTCCTGGTACTAAGAGCACATATGGACACCCTTATGCTTGAACATGTTGTTCGTTGTGGACAATCCATGAYGAGCACAGTTCAATAACAAAAAAAYRCTGGGGTTCAGATCGGGGGGTCCATTCCGCCAAACCACGCCCCTCCAGTTCTCACTGTCATTGCCCACATGAGCATTGAAGTCCYCCAGCAGAACGTCTGAAGCTTCACCCAGGTGTAATCCTTAMATGCCGGAGGCTTGCTCCTGAGCTGCAATCCTCGTCAGAATCACATGCAGTTTGCGAATTATTTCCCCCAGCTGAGAGTCTGTGTGCTACCGGCCTGGCAGAATCTTTCAAGTGCACCCGACAGYTCCCCAAAGGCCCGAACCACTGTCAGGGTCGCTTTCACTTTTCGATAAATCTGGAACCTTCCTCCACCGATCAGCAGGAATCCAGTTATCATAAATTCAAATACACAGAAATCTTCCACGTCTTCGATGGAAAATGGTGCTGGCATGTCAGATTCCAGCCCCAGGAATAAGAAAAGTCCAGCAGCAACCATTCCACCCAGACAGCCACGTTCCCCNACATCATACAGTACATCATACAGTACATCATACAGTACATCATACAGTACATCATACAGTACATCATACAGTACATCATACAGTGTATCATACAGTGCGTCATCATTTTTTTCCTAAGCTAAAGCCATTCTGTATTGTGGAAGGTATAAAGTACTGTCATGATATTCTATGAAGATATTCGATTTGTTATTTATGAACAAATTTAAAGTACAGTTTAGATACTATGATTTGTACATCAAACTGAAGAAATGGACGTAGCAATGGTCAGTGGAGCAGCATAACTGTAAGTTATTTCAGACTTGATGTGGAGCCTCGTTTGTTTAGAAACACTGAAGCTTCTTTGTAAACTTTACACTTCAACAGTTTTACATTGTAATTATARTAATGTGACAGGAGTTTTGTGACTCGTGGTTTTGTGGGTTTATTTAAACAAACTGACGTTTTTTTTCCTTACATCACTATAGAATAATTGCAGTTTAATTCTGCCAATAATTTGTCACAGTTATGACCTGAATACAAACTTTACTAAAAGAATATGCTACAATTATTTGTTCTCACAAAGGTTATATAATAACTTCTATTCCAGCTGAATGTTGAGCTACAACAGGATGCAGATTTAGAAGAATGACTCTCAGCTCCTGGCACAATCTCCTGATATGATTCAGTTTTACTTTGCTTGGAAAAAGACACCAGGGAGGTATTAATCAGTCACTAAACAAACAGACAGACTCTCTCCTAAAGTAGTGTTGTAACACCTCTGATTTCTCTTAGCTCCAGAAACACCATCGGTGCTAAAATGTTCCAGTAAAAAGCAAAGAGTTCCTTTAAGACTGGGCCTCAGGACAAAGTGCAAACAA